TATATATATTTAAATTACGTTTTCTTCACACTAGTAAATCCTTATACTCTTCCAGACCAATTTATTTTTCCAATATCTGATTAAGTATTAAACATATCATGTTCCTTTATTCTGCAAGTAAATTCAATAGCATTTTTTTAAAAAATAATTTCTTTCTAATTTGCCTTGATATAGTTCTGAGTTATTATTCTACCTGAAGGGTTTGAAATACAATAGATAAATTATTATTAGAAATTCAAGGTTACATGAAACAGAAAGAAAAATAGATTTATAGTTCCTGAATCTTTTCAACATATGTATTGAGCAGAAATAATAAAATACAGTCTTCTAATGAAGATGAAGTAATTTTATAGAAAAATCAAAATGCCCAGCTTCTTATAAGCTTCATTTTTGTCTAAAGGCCTTGGACAAGAATTTTTTTTTTCTATTAGAAAACTTTTGAATGTTTAAAATGTACTGTAAAGTTTTTGCCAAATTTAACTGATCTTAATTAAATAAAAATATTACAATAGCATTGATGAATTTTCAGTTTAAAAATATGTTAAAACATGAATTTAACTTTTCTCAATTGGGGAAATTGGAAAATGGTGACTTTTTTTCTTTTTGTAGATCTAATTCATATTTGTTTTGTTTATGTTTTAGATGTTTTTGTTTAAAAAAGATTCTAGGGCTTGTGCTGTACCTTAGTGATTAAGAAAATCAGATCCCACATGCCTAATCACAGTTTGAGTCCCAGCCCAGCCATTTGAAAACCAAACTGAGCATATGTGAGTATGTGCCCCAAATCTCAACAGGATGGAGAAGGGACTGTGGTATCATGCATCCCATTATAGGGAGCTTTCTCCTCCAACCTCCTCTCTTTCTGGCAAGCACACAGTCCCTCTGGAAATTTTTAAAAGGAAAAATAAAAAGATTCTATCATCAACTAGCAAAGACAGAAGATAATCAGTTATAATTTATTGACTAAAGGCTAAGTGAGCTTTTTAAGATGAAACAGTTATCTGTCAAGATTTTTTTACTCCTGTGCAACTTAAAAAAGAGTGAAAAAAAATTTTGGAGAGGTTTTTGCTGTAGGGTGCATGTGCTTGCCAGAGAGACAGAGAGACAAAAGTGAGGAATCACCTCCTAGGGGGATGGCCACCCTGCAATCCCTTCCCCTCCATTCTCCTCTCAGGCTCTCAGGATCTTGGACAAGCACTTACACGCTCCCGGAATGAGTTTAAGTCACCGGGTCCTGGACTCAAAACATAGTCAACTACATGAGAGTTCAGTGACGTAGCCATTATGCCATCTGCTGGTCCCTGTATTTTTTTTTTTTTAATGTGTGTGCTTGCCAGAGAGAGAGAGAAAGCACCCCCAACACCCCAAGGGGCATGCTCATGCTCCAATCCATTCTCTGTAATTTCTCCCTCCTTTTCAGAATTTTGAGCACTCATGCATATGTGCCTAGTGTTTCTCAAGCCTCTGAGTTCAAGACTCAAACCACATGGTTCCCCACCAAAATTTCTTTCTTTTTTTTTTGGAGAGGTTTTTGCTATAGGGCGTGTGCGCTCGCCAGACAGACAGAGAGAGACAGAGAGACAAAAAGCGAGAAATCACCCCCCAGAGGGGATGACCACGCCGCAGTCCCTTCTCCTCCAGTCTCCTCTCGGGATCTTGGGCACGCACGCACACGCGCCCGGCGTGAGTTTTAAGCCACCGGGTCCAGGACACGAACCACGGTCGACTACGTGGGAGTCCAGTGACATAGCCATTACGCTAACTGCTGGTCCCCCCACCAAAATTTCTTCTCTTCTATTCTCTTCTCAGGATTTTGGGCATGCACACATACATGCTGTGTATTTTTCAAGCTACTGGGTCCAGGACTCTAACTATGCAGTCAGCCATGTAGGATCCAACTGCCTTAACTACCATACCACCTGGCTGGCCTTTTAATGTTACTAAATGTAATTAACTGATCAGTAAATCTGAGTAATGGCAACTCCAGTGTTCAAATACAGATATTACAGTAGTTGCAACACATACTGTTTCCATTGACTGTTAACAAAGGAAGCAAAGAGATTGTCAAAGTATTGTCCAACCTTGGTCATTTAACTTTGGGAGCAACACTAATAAATGAATAATAACAATGGTCAGTGAACCAGAGTGACTATATTGACTTCTAGGAAGTGACTGGGAAGCAGATAGATAGATATAGATATAGATAAATATATTAGGTCACTGGGAAAGTCATGATGTATTTTTCTATGCAAAAATGATGAGTTCATAGGTATCTATATCTACATGTATCTATATCCAAATATCTATCTATCTATAAAGTAATCTAGCATCATCAGCTACTAAAATTTTTTCAGTTCATTTTAAACAAACTTAAGAGTTTTTATTCATTGATTCACTCAAAAATTATCTGTTGCATCTCTGCTATATGCTAGACCTAACAATTAAAAAGTGGCATTGGAAAGAAAAACAGAGGTCTGGGCTGTTAATGTGAATGCATTTTGGTGTAGCACTGGTCATCAAATGCACTAGTATCTGGTCATCCATGTTGCTTGTAACAGAAATGAATGTTATCCATTCATGTATGTAATAATTAGACTAACTCTGTGTAAGATGGGCTTTTATTAAATGAGCTTTACTAATAAGCCAGAATGTCAATTTTTTAGTTTTTATATATATATATATATACATATACATGAAAGACTGTGTATATATATATATATATATAAAAACTGTATATATACATAAAACTATACACACACACACACATACATACACACACATATATAGTGTAAACCAAATATACATATAGATTTTATGTGTGGGGTGTGTGTGTGTATAAATAAATTGGGTTGTCAGAAAAGTCATGACGTATTTTTTCTCTTTTTTCTATGCAAAAGCACATCATGACTTTTCTGACAACCCAATACACACACACACACACTCACACACACACACTCATATATACATGTGTGTGTGTGTGTGTGTACTGCTCAAAAAACACATTGAGAGTCAGGTCCTTCTTCAAAACAGGAAAGTGTATTTGGGAAATCAGATTAAGATCTTTTACCATGATCATCATGCAGGTGACAGAATGTCTGAGAGTTCCAAGGCATGTATCTGCAGGTCCAAAGGATTCTTGTTGCCTGGTCAGGGCTTCCTTGTTTCTTTTTTCTGCATATTTTTCCATTATTCCAGACCTGTTACAATAATTAATGCTTATCTTACACCTATCCAATAATATTTTTTTCTGTTTAATAGGGAATTGCAAGATGCTCTAGTATCAGGGCAGCACCTGCACAGTCTCTAAGGATACATTGCATCTGATAACTAGGATTTTTATATGCATTATTTTACAATGACTTTTATCTGTAGCATCTAGTGGATAATATTTGGAGTATGGAATAATACAGCATTTGCAAAAATTTTTTAAATGAGCAAGACATAGTCCCTTTAACAAACTTTCAATCCAACTGGAGAGATAAGATACCCAAACAACCATAGTATTATGTGAAAATGATGTGAGATGCAAATATAAAAAAAGTAGCGATGGAAAAACACCTTTGGTTTCAGAGACTAGAGAAGGCTTCAGGGAAAAGGTGTCAGTTAAACTGCACTTGGATAAAGAAACAAGACTGATAAATCAAGAAGAGAAAGCTTTCCATACGGAAGAAGCAGTGTGGCTGATACTGTGGAATAAGGAATATATGAGGTATGCTTAGGAAATAATGAATTAAGCCTGTATAAGACAATGGTTCCCAACTTTTTTAAGTGTGAGAGTTCCTTAGTAACATCAAAATTTAACACATACTCTCCCCACAGAATAGTAATTAAAGCTTTTAATAGCAGCTGATTGAGAAAACACATTTGTGCTTTTGGTTCTTCAGACTCCATTGCAATACATACTGGCCTTCTGGAGGTCTCATCACCCAAATATTAGAAACCACTGACAATTATATTGGAGAGAGTAATGGAAAGTGGATGTGGAGGTGTGAATTATGGACTGATTAGGAATATCTTGAAAGTCAAGACAGGTTTTAGAAATTAAATTAGGTACTCATTCCCAATTCAATTTCACCTTTAAACAGTTTTCATACTATATATCAGTAAATTGTTGCAGAATGATCTAACAGAGAGGTTTGGGGAAGCATTTTTTTAATATAAATTTTGTCGTGATACTTCTATTTACTTGGTGAAAATTCTACTCAGGTCAATTCTTTGA